GGTTCGGTTTCAAAGCTCCCTCCCCCCTCTCTCCCCCTCCCCTCCAGGCAACATCCGAACGCGCTCTTTCTGACACCCTCTCTCCAGGGCTCCCAGCTCCCGCGGGGGGGGGAAGGCTCGGTTTAACAGCTCCCTCTCTCCCCCCCCCCTCCCTCCTCTATTACTGGCGACACCCGAAGGCGCACTTTCTGACAGAGAGGGGCCCCTCTCTCAAGGGCTCCCGGCTCCCAGACGGGAGGGGGGGGAAGGCTCGGTTTAAAGGCCCCCTCCCCCCCCCCTCCCTCCCCCTCCCCCCCCTCCTTCCCCCCTCCCTCCCCTCCCCCCTCCCCCCCCCCCCTCCCCCCTCCAAATCACCACCGAACGCGCTCTCTCTCTCTCTCTACCACGCGCTCTCTGGGGAGCCTCGCACCGGGCGGGCCTGGCTCCCCCGAGGGCGCTCTGTGCGAGGGACCCCGCGGGGAAGGGGCCCCCTCTCTCACTGGAGGCCTCCTAGACCGGGGTCGAAGGATCGCGCCGCATCGCCACTGCGTCGGCGATGTATCGGCGATGCATCGCCGACGTCGGCGGCGCATCGGCGAGTCGGCGTGGAGCAAATCGGGCTCCGCATCGAGCCGCATCGTCGATGCATTGGTGATGCGGCGCAATCCTCCGACCCCATCTACTCCGACCCATCTAGGAGTCCTAGACTCAAGGGCTCCCGGCTTCCAGGGGGGGGAGGCTCGGTTCAAAACCTCCATCCCCTCCCCTCCAAGCGGCCACTGAACGCGCTCTTCTTTACAGAGAGGGGCCCGCCTGGGGAGCCTCGCATGGGCGGCCTGGCTCCCAGGGGGAAAGAAGGGCCAGGGAAAAGCCAGGAGGGCGCCAGATAGGCCACCACTGCCGCCAAGACTCTCCAATCTGCCTCCAAGACGGCCCGATATGGCTCAGGAGATGGACCAGGAGGCCCCCAAGACGGTGCGTCGTCAACCATTTGGGCGTCTTCATCGTTTCGGGCTCCTTGCAGCTCCAGACGGACCTGGAGGTCGCAGGCCTTGCTATGACACCTCCCACCCACGTTTGTAGTATACACCGTCTCGCAGAATCGTTCATTTCGTCACACACTCCTCACCGCTCCACTTCATTTCGAGCACGGTCGCACTAGCATGCCGAGACGAGCCCATTCGTGGCGACGAGGACCATTAGAACATGATCACGAAAGAGACATTGTCAAACATATCCCCCCAACCTGCTTCACTTCCAGCCCTTGAGGGCGTGAGTGGTTTAGCGGGTGTCCTCTTCCAACCCCCTTCTTCCCCTTTGGGGAGGGGTTCATCACTGTGCCCTATTGATATACACCCCCTCCCCCACGCGACAGGCAGCCAACAAGGAACAATGCCGACCACCATGATCTCTCCCCCACCAGCCCTGTCAACAAACCAATACAAAACACACTCTGCCTCTAAATTCGGAGTATGCGCAGCCAACCCGATGCGGCCCCCCACCATTCCTCTCAAAAAGCAATACAACATACAATTTGGGGCAAAGTCTTGAGTTAATGTTCGTGAGGCCCGCGAGCTCTCTGTATTGTTTTTTGACAGGGACGGCGGGTGTATCAGCATATGGCCTGCTGTGCACATGGCCACCATCCCTGTCAACGAAAACACAATTTAAATAGCAGAAAAGCCACCATCACTATCAACAACAATACAGCATGCACATCGCGGCTACATCTGGATCATGCGTGGCCATCCCGCGATCACTGTCAAGCGGTTTTTGACAGGGACGGCGGGGGTGGTGGCGTATGGACTGCTGAGCGCGGGCCCACCAGACACAATGATTGGCATTGGTTTTCGACAAAAATGGTGGGGGGCGACATGCTGCCCGATGTGTGCTGTCACGTGCGCAAGCGCACCCGACACACTCTGCGCGTGCCCCGAACGTGACGCACCTGGCGCGGCTGGAGTAAGCAGCACACCTGGCGCACGTGGAGCACGTGGCGCATCTGGCGCACCAGGCGTGCCTGGCACGCTCGGGCCCCAGGACTGCCTGGCGCGAGTGGCGTGTCTGGCACGCGTGGCGCACCTCCCCCTAGCGTCGCGCACAAGGGTTCGGTATTGCTTTCCAGTAGCTGTCCATCAGACGACGACCGCTGAACATGCTGAGGCCGGGGTGCTGCTTATGTATTGGGAGGGCGGGTGGGAGTGAGCTAGACGGCTTGCTATCTAGGAGCGTGCTTGATGCCTCCCCCTATCCCACCCCTTGGACCTGGACGGGGCGCGCCACGAGGTGTCAGAGCGTCCACATAGGCCTCGACGCGAAGGCCTAATTAAGGGCATGTCCCCTCACAGGGGGATTTTTAACGAGCATTAAAAACATACTTACTCAAAGGAAGCAACAAATAATACAAACACCGTCCCACTATTTTTTTTTAACAATTTATGAATATCCCCCCTGTAGAGGGACAGGCCCGACTTAAGACGAAGGTTTTGGGCCCATGTTGGCCTTCCGGGGATGGGGGCCGTAAGCAAGTAGCACCCCCTTCGCTGATCGACCTCCTCCAAGATGGCCCCAAGGTGGCCCTCAAGGCTCCCAAGAAGGCGCCAAGAGGCCCCCGGAGAGGCTCCCAGGAGACTCACAAGAGATTCCTGGAGGCTCCCTCGAAACCCCTATGACGCTCCAAGAGGCACCAAGTACCGCCAAGACGCCCCCAAGACGCCCCAGGAGGACTCCAAGAAGCTTTCAAAAGACATCCGAAAAAGACTCCGAGAGACATCCAAGAGGCCTCTGGCCATTCTACTCGCCCTCCCCCTCCTCCTCCTCCTCCTCCTCCTCCTCCTCCTTCTCCTCCGCCTGTTCCTCCTCCTCCGCTTGTTCCTCCTCCTCCTCCTCCTCCTCCTCCTCCTCCTCCTCCTCCCTGCTCCCCTTTTCCCCTCCCCCTCCCCCCTCTTCCTCCTTCTTCTTCTTCTCCTCCTCATCCTCCTCCTGCTGCTCCTCCTCCTCCTCCTCCTCCCTCCTCCCCCTCTTGGGGTATGACGGCTTCCTTTACCCGCTATTCCACTGCATGCTTCTCCACATCCCTGATCAGGGCAACTCGCCTGGGCATCGGTTTCGGATGGGCTGGTGGGGTTGCGCGAAGCGTGCACACAGAACACTTCATTTTTCTCCTCCTCACCTTCCCCTCCTCCCCTTCCTCATGTATCAAGGCGCGCCAGGAGGAGGCTTTCAAGGGAAGGGATCCCCCCGAGCCTGAGGCCCACAAGAGGCTCCCAGAAGGCCCTTAAGACTCCTCCAAATAGCCCTGGAGAGACCTCCCAACGGCCGCCTCCGGGAGGCCTCTGGTCCATGACCCAGGCCTGGTTGCGGTGCCGTGCGCCGAAGGCCACAGATGTAGGTAACTTCACGAGGAGGTTGCGTGTCCTGGGATGTTACCACACGTATCGGATCTGCGTAAGGTGCGTCTCTGGGCAACTGTTGATGGGAGCTCCGTCTTGGCTTGGCACTTTCGATGCGTTGCGCTGCCAGCTGCCCGGCTGATGGGCCTGTCGGGATCGACGATGACGACAACGACGACGACGACGACGAGGAGGAGGAGGAGGAGGAGGAGGAGGAAGAGGAGGTCGAGGCCGAAGTCGGGGTCGATGACGACGACGACGACGACGAAACACGACAAGCGGGCAAGAGTCGTGGCCCGCTCTGGAAGCCCCGAACTACACCGAGGCTGGGGAAACCGCAGGAAGTGCGTACCCGTACTGCTGCTCCCCAGGCCTCGCCCGGGGTGCGTTCTGCCTGGACTCTCGGGGCGAACCCCGCGGTGGCGACGAAGGCCTCCCAGGAGGCCCCCCCCAACGGGGGCATCGAGGCCAAGGTTTGGACGCCCGAAATATCCGGGGCAACTCGGGCCCGGGGTAACTTTCGAGTTCCCGAAAAACGAACCCGAGTTAGCCCTGACCCGAGTTCCCCCTGATGATTCGGGGCTCTGGACGCCCGAACTATCCGGGGCAACTCGGGCCCGGGGTAACTCGGGTTCGGCTTCCCGAAAAACGAGCCCGAGTTAGCCCTGACCCGAGTTACCCCTGATGATTCGGGGCTCTGGACCCCGCGGTGGCGACGAAGGCCTCCCAAGAGGCCCCCCAACGGGGGCATCGAGGCCAGGGTACTCCAGATTTCGTAATAAAAGGGAGGGGGTCTGGACCCTCCAAGACAAGCCATTTCAGACCTCCCCCGTGGGAGATCCCTCTAAAACATCGTCCCCAGACCCCCCAGGCTCTCCAAGATAGCCTGGAAGAGACCCCCCCCGAAATGAGACCCCCCTCCCTTTATTACGAAATCTGGAGTAGCGGTACTGGGTGCCGTTTCCTCCTCTGGGGCGCCTCTTCTGCGCCCGCCAACTTTCGGCAACTTTCCGCCGGCGGAGCCGCCCCTGTCCCCTGCTGCCGCCACCCTCCGCCGAAGACGAGGAGGTGGACCTCTCGAGCCTTCGAGGGCGAGGCCTGCTCGGGAGCTCAGGATGTCCTGCTTCCGCCACTCTTCGCCGAAGACGAGAGGTGGACCTCTCGAGCCTTCGAGGGCGAGGCCTGCTCGGGAGCTCAGGGTGCTTCTACGAGGCGCCCGCCACGACGCTTCACTGAGGCGCCCGAAGTCACCTACCATGGAGGGAGAGCAACTGGCATAACCATGAGCTTTCGATGGTCCGCGCGGACTTCTTGGATCTGCGCCGACGAGCCAATGGCGGCGCCGCAAGCGCCGCCAGGGGGGCGCAGCGCAGATTCAAGAAATCAACGTTGACCGTCGACAATACACATATATATATATATATACACATGTATATATATATAGATATACACCGTTTTTCTTCTTCGAATTCGGGCGTATGTATCGCCTTGGTGGCACAGAGGAAGCAGAGCATCAGAGAGCGGACTGTCGAACGTTTATATTCGTGCAGTTTTTTCCCCTGACACCAAAAATGCCCCCTTCTGGGCAGCCCGAAAGCGCTGCTCCCCCCCCCCGACGAGGCGGGAGACCCTCCTCCATCTGCGCGACCTGCAGGGCGGTGTGGTCGTCGCAGTTGAGCGCCCTCGTGTCCGCGCGGGCCTCGGGGAGGGAAGGCACGGAAGACGGGCAGACATGCGCGTTCCACTGCTCGCAGAGAAACTGCTCGCAAGTGGCCAGGAGCCGCCGCAAGGGATTCACGGTCCATGACCCACCGGTCGGAAGAAGCAGGTAGAAACATGAAGCAGGAAAGCGTTGGAAGCAGATTGGGTGTCCGCCCGCCCGATGGAAAAGGTGAATCCATCCGACCAGAACTGGAAGGCGAAATGGATGGGGAATTAGAAAGACTGGAATGGCGAAATTAATGCACTTCCAGTAGATTGGAATATGGGGCAATCAGAAAGACTTACTTTAAGCGACCGGTGGGTACATCGAGGAAGACATGGTTTGCTCAGGCTTTTGCGAGTGGGCACTCGGCTAGCAGTGGAAATCACTCGGTGAGGACCGAGGGCCGGGCAGGGCAGGACAGGGGCAACGCCACGGGAGGAGGAGGAGGAGGAGGAGGACGCACAATTCCGCCATGGTTCGTCAGCAAGCGCGGCCCCTCTACTGCTGATTGATTTGCCCCTGGAAGAATCGCCGAGCGGCAGATGAAGAGGCCGAAAACGCCCTCGCTCGCGCCCGAACGAACCCTCGGATTGTGTTTACAATTAAGAGGGCCCGATGATGAACGTGGCTAGAAATGGAAAGGGAAAGATCTAACGCAAGACAGACACAACAAACCTCATCCATGGAAAGGTACAAGTGGTCTCCAAGAACAAAAGAGTCGGGCCTCCCGAGGCCCAGGTCCTAGGAAGGAGGGGTAGGAAGGGCTTTCGCTTCAGGTCGAAAATCTTCACAACGTACACTATGTAGCATATTATCCCCACCAAGATACTTACACCCCAATTTGCGTACACCCGTCCCCGTCCGATACCGAACCGACGTATTCCAGCCGTTGAGTAGGATCTTAATCGTTGTGCCGTGCCGAAATAAAGGGGTCGGGGCGGAAGGGCGCGCTGGCTGGTGGGAGGGGGGATGCGGAGGGGGTGTGCTGTGCCGAAATAAAGAGGTCAGGGCGAAGGGGCGCGCTGGCTGGTGGGTGGGGGGGTATGCGGAGGGGGTGTGGAGGGGGTGTGCCGTGCCGAAATAAAAGGGTCAGGCCAGAGGAGTGTGCCGTGCCGAAGTAAAGGGGTCGAGGCGGAGGGGCGCGCTGGCTGGTGGAATGTGTGGGTGATGGAGGGGGTGCCGTGCCGAAATGAAGTGGTCGGAGCTCTAGACACCCTGTGCAAGAGAATAGACACAAATAACAGGATCCCCCATACTGTCCCATATTTTCTGGGTTTTTGTCTTGCCCCCCATTTCCTATATTTTCGCATATGTTCTTGGGAATCGTCGATTCATTGTGTCTGTGTGTTCTTTCTTCTCCTGAGAGGCAGAAGCAGGGGGAGTGCTGCTGCGGGCAGAGAGCAAGGGGAGCTCTCCGAGAGCACCGGGCTTGGCCGGCGCGCCCCGGCACGCCCCGGGGGGGGGCGCGGGGCGCTCTGGAGCAGCCCGTGTCTGCCCCTGGCTTGCCTGGGCTGGGCTTCCCCCCCCCGCTCGGCCCGAAGGAGGGCGGCATACACGCACACCACTCCGGGGCAAAGATGGGCCTGGCCGAACTCCGCGCCTGGGGTTAAGTCGGGCCTGTCCCCCTACAAGGGGATTTTCGACGAAAAATAAAAAATACACCCAAATGGTCAAAACATATTCCAAACATAATATGTTTTTTTGAGGGTATTTCTTATTTTTCGTCGAAAATCCCCCTGACAGGCCCGACTTAAGCCTGGGGAGACCAGAAGGTACACCGATACCGCTACCCCCCGGACCTGGCCTCCCGGGGTGCGCTCTGGCCGGGATCCCGCGGCGAAGCCAGCGAGGGCGACCAAGGCCTCCCCGGAGGCCCAACCAGGCGAACACGGGCGGCGGGGGAGACCCAGGCAGGCGGCGTCCTGATTTTTTTTCAGGGCGGCGTCCCTGGACGTCCCGACCCTTTCCCCGGGGCCGCTTTTTCGTCCAGAGGCGTTTTTTGACGGTCCCGCGGGGCCCGGCGAGGGCCCCTTCAAGGGCCGAAAAGGGTGGAACATCTGCCGCCCTGCTTTGTTACCCCGCGATCCTGTCTGGGGGTACCTTTTCCTCCTTCTCCTCCTCCTCCTCCTCCTCCTCCTCCTCCTCCTGCTCCTCCTCTGCCCTCCTCCCTTCTCCGCCCCTCCAGAGCTTCGCTGCGCGCGCAGCGGGCGGGCCGCCGCCGCCCCAGCGGCCGAGGGCTGCGCGCGCAGCTTCACTGCACGGCGCGGCGGCCGCGCCGCTGCCCTGCTGGACCCCACGCCCGCGCTGCACGCCGCGCCCTCGGGCCGTCGAGCCCCGGCAGCTGCCCGGCCTCGTGCCCTTTGGCTTCGCGCGGCGCGGGCCCCCTCCCTCCCTCCCTCCCTCCCTCCCTCCCTCCCTCCCTCCCTCCTTCCTCCCTCCCTCCCTCCCTCCCTCCTCCCTCCTCCCTCCCTCCCTCCCTCCCTCCCCTCCCTCCTCCCTCCCCCCCCCCGGGAGCTCTCGCCGGGAGCACGCCCGGCCCTTGCCTGCCTCGTGGGCGCCGGCGAGCCTGGAGCGCCTCTCGGTGTGCTGCGGCCTCTCCCTCGGGAGCATATGGGCATCGTTGATCCGACCCACCTCCCCGGCGGCGTGGCCTGGGCCCCACGGGCCGATTTGCCCCCCTAGATGGGGATGCAGGCCGTACCGAGGGGTGTATCCCCAACAGGAGTGGTGATTTGGTGGGGGTCTCGAAGGGGATGAGGATGGGGATGGTGGTCGGTGAAACGATACTGAGAGCAGGGACCGACCGTCCCCGCGTTCCTAAATAGGCCTACCACGACATGCTCTCAGAATCCAGCGGCGTTCTGATAACAAAAACAATGTCCGTATAGTATAGCGTAAATCCGACGTGCTCAAGCAACACAAGACTTGCCAGAGGAGCATCTCGTGCAGACCACAAAAGGTTCTCGAAGGGACCTCCGCGGAGATCTCTGGAGCGACCTCGCACCCCTTACCCGGCCCAGGGCGAAAAATCTTGCCGCCGAAGAGGTCGCGCCTCGACGGCCCGATGTCCCTCTCCTCGGGGCCAGGGGGAGGCCCCGAGACACAAAAACTGCAAGGAAAACGCCCGCTCGGGTGCTGCTACAGAGAACCCGTGCAGCAAGGATGCGCGACGAGGATGCAAGGGCCTTGGACGCCCATCTCGATGCTTTTCGAGCGGAGCGCGGCCAACGAAAGTGGCCAAGTATGGGACCGAGGAGGCAAGGATTTGAGCAGGGACCGACCGTCCCGGCATTCCTATAGTCCTACCACGAAATGTTCTTCGAACCCAAACACGTTCTGATAACAAAAACAATGTTCTTATAACATAAGCCCGATGTGATAAAACAGGACAGGCTCCGCCAGAAATGTTCTAATAACATTTCGTGGAAGCCACGACAGGCTCTGAGAACATGGTTTGGTAGGGCTATAAGCGAGCCAGGACACTTCGTCACTGCTTGACCTTGGGAAGGTTGCCCCTCCTTACTATGCGGGTGGACTGTAGACTGTGCCCCTGGCCCGAGGTGCTCCCAGGACCTCCAAGGAGGCCCCCACGGCCTCCGGAGCCGCCCTCGCGAGGCCCAGAGGGCCCCGTGGGGCTCCCAGGACTGAACGAAAAGCTGGGGGCACTCTTGGCCATGGGGCACCTTTGGCAGTCCCCGGCCCGTGGGGACTCGTCGTCGCGGGGTCGCTTCGGCTGCATTGGGGGGGCCCGGCCCCCAGATCCCAAAATCCGCCGACCTTGGCGTGTGTGAGGGGCTTCTCCGTTCGACTCGTCGTCTCCGTCGTCTCCGTTCTCCCCCTCCCAGGGCTCTCCTCCTCAAGCGCGCTATCCAAAATGAAATTAAACGACGTCGTAGTGGAGTCGAAGGGAAGCCCCTTCCCTTTGATCCCTTCCCCAGAATCATGAAGAGAGCGCCCGCCGTGGGCGCCAGGGTCCTCCACGCAGCCAGGCGGCCTCTTCACTGCCGAGGCAGGGATCGGGGGGAGCCGCGTGAGAGCAGAGCGCGGGCAGTGCTGCTGCTGCTGTTCGTTCTCCTCGCCCTTCGTCCTTGCCTTCTACCCCTCCTCTCTTCCTCCTCCTCCTCCTCCTCCTCCTCCTCCTCCTCCTCCTCCTCCTCCTCCTCCTCATCATCATCATCCGTCCCCCTCCTGCCTCCCCCGTCCTCGTCCTCCTGCCGTTTCTCCTCCTTCTTCTCTAGTAGAGCGAGGAGGGGAGGGAGGGGGGGAGAGAAAGAAGGGGCAGGAGCAGGAGCAGGAGCAGGAGGAGGCGCACAGCCTGGCGCGTCGGGTGGTGACCGAAGCGCGGGACTCTAGCTGGATATGGAGGGCCTTCCACAATCGCGGAAGGGAAGCCAGACTGCATGGCAAGGGACTCGTGCAGCTGGCACAGTGACCAAAGAAAGAGAGCTGGGTCAATTAAGCTGTCGATGGAAACAAACGCCACGGCAGCCCAAGCGACGAGGGGCCAGGAACCCAGAAAACCAGAGCGCCCAGACAGGCACTCCCGCCGCCTAGGCCCTCCGAAGACGGCCAGTGCAGCAGGAACGCCACCCCCGCGGGGACGGACGGGCGACCACCCAGCGGCCCCCCGAGGCCGCCCCAACCCATAAGCGGCTAGCCATCGCCCCACGGGCGAAAACCAACCCCAGAGACCCCCCCCAAAGCACAACCATAACGACGATGCGAATCCAGCAGGGCGGAGCGGGGGCCGCACCGAGGCAGAGCGGAGCACACATGTCAACTAGATATGCTTTGTGCGCTCACGACCTTCAGCATTCTCCACTGCGCACGCGGCATCAGCGAAGCGCCGACTCCCCGCAGGCGCATCGGCTCGTCCCACTGGATGATGACATTGTCAGCGGGACTACCGACTTGCACCACGGTCCCGACGAGCCCGACAGGGACACGGACCCGTTTGCCCGCATCCATGTTGAAGGCCTCGATGGCCGCGACCCGCATGCCCTCCGCCAGCTCCTCCGTCGGCATGCTGTGCACGCTGTGTCACTCCCCGTCGTTCGCGGCGTCGCGGAGCTCGTCTCCAGGGCCGAACTCGGCATCCGCCCACGACGTTCGTAGACCACCTTCAGCTCGAACTGCTGCACCATGAACTGGCCCAGGTTTTTTTTTTTTTTTTTTTTTTTTTTTTTTTCACCGCCAAGTACCGCAGCGCCGTCATCAGCAAGCAGCCCGTCACGACCATCATGGAGCGCGTCCCGACCATCACGAAGCTCGTCACGACCATCACGAAACCCGTCGCGACCATCACGACGCGCGTCACGAAGCTCGTCGCGACCATCACGAAGCCCGTCAGGAAGCGCGTCGCGACCATCACGAAGCGCGTCGGGAAGCTCATTGCGACCATCACGAAGCTCGTCAGGAAGTTCGTCGCGACCATCACGACCATCGTGAGGCTCGTCGCGACCATCACGAAGCTCGTTGCGACCATCACGAAGCTCGTCGCGACCATCACGACCATCACGAAGCACGTCACGACCATCATGAAGCTCGTCGCGACCATCACGAAGCTCGTCGCGACCATCACGACCATCACGAAGCAGGTCACGCCCATCACGAAGCTCGTCACGACCATCACGAAGCTCACCTTCTGCCCGAACGGCTTCGCCAGCACTCGACGAATCAGCCTCCACCAGCGGCGCCCAATCCACGAGCTTGTCCGTGGGTCCGTCCATGGACGTGGACTGGTCCTCCGCCTCGGAGTGCGACTCCACCCAGCCGCGCGCAACGGCCAACGCTTCAGCCCCTGCACCAGGATGACGGAGCATGGAAGCTGCCGCGTCCACCGCGCGCCAGGCCCTCTCCAGACGGGGCGGCGGGCGCCGGCCTTCGCCACGGCACCTGGCCAGGCCGGCGGCCAGCGTGGCCCCGCCCAACACCGCGACGAGTTCCGCAGCCACGCCAAGCAGCCGCTGCGCCTCTCCCCCTAGGGCCGTCAGCGCCTCGGCCCCTGGCGCCGCCTCCGTAGCCGCTGCGCCAGGCGCTGGCGAGGAACCGCCTTGCGCCGCCCCAGCTTGCAGCAGCAACATGAGTGCTGCTGCGGCTTCCACCGTCGGGACCGTAGCCGTCGACACGCCATGTCTGACGGTGAAACCACATTTCGTTCCACGCGGTATCGCAGCGGCGGGGAGAACAGTAACGCGCGCCAAGGGCCGCGCGCCGCGCCGTGGAGGAGCTCAGAGCAAGCAGCACAGAGCAGGATCTCCTTGAGCCACAATGGCTACGGAGGAGGAGGAGGAGGAGGAGGAGGGGGAAGCGCCAGCCAAATGCACTCCGTAGCCAGGAAAACTTCGTCGGGAGCCGCGAAGGTTAAAGTGGGCGGCTACCCTAGCCGCGTGGTGGTTTGCCGCCTACGGGAAGCCCCATGCGCGGGTGGCGCCCAGCCTGAAGATTTCTCCGGGCTGTGGTGCGAGCACGACTTATCTCCCAAGTGACGGGCCCAATGCAATTGACCATCAACACTGGTGTTGCCGCGATAAGGAAGAGACGCCGCAGTTCAGACGATATACCAAGAGCTCTTCTGTGACCATGTGGTGGCCACGGATGAGCTCGTGCGGGCTGTTACTAGACACAGCATCTGGAGCCCTGGGTGCGCTACTAGAAACAGTAGGCACATTGGAACCCTCAGAGCTTACAGTACTAGACACAGTTCGGACAGCTCTAACACTGCCAGAAGCCGTAGCCGACTCAGAGGCCACCCTGGAGGCCCCATCCCCAGACGCCCCAGAGGGGCCGTTGCCGCTAGGCGGGATGCCAGCAGCGGCCTGCCCAGAACCCACGGGCAAAGCGTCAGGAATCCACGGTCTCGCGTCGGTGGATGGCCTCGGGCGCTCCAGCAGCGCCTCGGGAATCCAGGTCCTCGTCGCAGCCCAACCTCCGCACCCGACGAACGGCCAACTTCCGGCCCCAAGAGCCTGTCGGCGGCGCCGAGGGCAATCTCTTGCCGAGCAGAGGCAGAGCAGAGGAGGAGAAGCAGGAGGAGGAGAAGGAGGAGGAGGAGCGAACATACGAACAAGCTCCAGGTCTCCGCCTAGCCGACTACACCTCGCTTCGTGCGCCTTCCCCTCCTTCCCCCGTCCTCCTAGTCCCCGTCCTCCTAGTCCTCCTCCTCCTCCTCCCCGTCCTCCTCCCCGTCCTCCTCCTCCTCCTCCTCCTCCTCCTCCTCCTCCTCCTCATCCTTCTCCTCCTCCTCTTTCTCGATGCCTCGGTGCTGAGGGCAGTCCGATCCTCGTCGAGACGCAGCGCTCCTCCTCCTCCTCATCCTCCTCCGCCTCCTCCTCCTCCTCCTCCTCCTCCCTCCTCCTCCCCCTCCCCCTCCCCTTCCCCCTCCTCCTCCTCCTCCTCCTCGTCCTCGTCCTCGTCCTCGTCCTCGTCCTCGTCGTCGTCGTCGTCGTCGTCGTCGTCCTCCTCCTCCTCCTCCTCCTCCTCCTCCTCCTCCTCTTCTCCCCCGCCTGGGATCGACCGCCCGCGGCGCCTCCAGCAGCAGGCCACACACCCCGAGGTGGGCCTCCTTGGCCGCGAAGTGCAGTGAGGCCCACAGGTCCTCTGCGCACGTCAGGCCGCTCGGCGGGGAGGAGGAGGGAGGAGGAGGGAGGAGGGATGAGCAGGAGGAGGAGGAGGAGGAGGAGGAGGAGGAGGAGGAGGAGGAGGGGGAGGAGGAGGAGGAGGAGGAGGAGGTTTAGGAGAAGGAGGAGCAGGAGGAGGGGAAGGAGGGGGAGGAACTAAATGGGCCCTGGAAACGACAGGGCCGTTCTTGTCACCGGTTCTGTTCTGCTGTTTTTTGTCGGCCGTTTCCGTCGCCGTTTTTTTGTCGGTCATGTCGCCGTTGTTTTGCCGGTTCCGGCTCTGGTTCCAATCCCGGAGCCTCTTTTTTGCCGTTCCTGGTCGCCGTTTTTGCCGTTTCCATTCGCAAGAGACACTTTTTCGAAAACGGTGACAAAACGGCCCTGCCGTTTCTCCCTCCTCCTCCTCCTCCTCCTCCTCCTCCTCCTCCTCCTCCTCCTCCTCCTCCCTCGACCGCGGCGGGGAGGGGGGAAAAAGGTGAGCTTTCTTTTTTTGGTTGGGGAGGGAGGTTCTGGGGGCGAGGCGAGGCGAGCGCGCGAGTTCGGTCCGGCGGGAGCGGCCCTCGTATAGGGCGGCGCGGGGGGGGCCGGAAGCCTCAGGAGACGTGTCGGGGGCAGGAGTCGGAGCCGGAGCCGGAGGTTCTGGGGGGGCTCCCTTGGAGGCCTCCCGAATTGGGTCTTGGTAGGTGAGATCGGAGGATCGCGCCGCATCGCCGATGCATCGGAGGCGCATTGGCAGCATCGGCGATGTATCGGCGATGTATCGGCGCCGTCGGCGTGGAGCAAGTCGGGCTCCACGTCGAGACGCATCGCCGATGCATCGGCCATGCGGCGCGATCCTCAAGGCACACCTCGGAGGAAAAAAAATTGGCATACACATGAACTTTCGAAAACCCTTTCTGTGTTTGATTGTTCGGAGACAACTCATGGGAGCCTCCCATACCATCTTGTCGGCTCTTGCGAGTCGACGCAAATTCACGGCAAATTCGCGCAAATCGCTCTATATCGAAGCTAATCGACGATGAACGACGCTAAATCGATGCCATTCGACGCTAACTGATGCTGAATCGGCGCTATCCCACCGACTCCCAGGCGCTAGCCGACGCTGGAGACGAAAGCAAAAGGGCACTCCAGATTCCGTAATAAAGGGAGGGGGGTCTCATTTCGGGGGGGGTCTCTTCCAGGCTATCTTGGAGGGCCTGGGGGGGTCTGGGGACGATGTTTTGGAGGGTTCTCCCACGGGGGAGGTCTGAAATGGCTTGTCTTGGAGGGTCCAGACCCCCTCCCTTTTATTACGAAATCTGGAGTACACCAGGCTCCCATGGTTTGCTACTGACTGATTGTCCTGGGCATCGATCTGTCCTCCGACGGCCGACAACGGCGAAAGACCGGCCAACACTGTTTTTTGGTTGTGGCGTCCTCAGGGGGCCACGTGCGAACCCTACCCCTACCCCCCCCGATTTCTGAGAGGGAGGGTGGGGTTCACTTCGCTCGGGAGCTCCCAGACGAAGTGAACCCCACCCTCCCCCTCAGAAATCGTGGGGGGTAGGGGTAGGGTTCGCGTGTGGCCCCCTAGTCCCCCTCCCCGCCGCCCCGGGACGTCCGAGCCCACGACGGCACGAACAGGGGGCGGCATCCCGCCTCGAAATCCAACGCAGGCTTTTCCCGCGACGTGGCGGCGCCCCAGGACCCCCAAACTCCAGTGTCCGCGCCGACACTTGTTGGCGACTGCACACACACAAACATCCGACCCCGTGGGCCGCGACTCGCGCGTCGGTCAACATGCAATCGGACTGGAACAGGACACGCGAGGGGACACAAGACCCCTCCGAGGGCCACATCGCCACAGGAGTGGGAGAAGGCATGGGCCGCGAGGCACAGGACACAAGGGTACCCTTGAGCTGGCAGGGTCGACCTACCAATCCGGGCCGCCTGTAAGACTTGATTTGTTTAGGGGGGGCTCCGATTCGCCCAACGGGGCCGTCAAATCAATGACGGGACTGAGTCTGCCAGTGGTCGCGAACTCCCGCGGCACACACCGCACGGAGCTCAGACCGTCAAGGCTCACGCCCAGGCACTCCAGAAGAATGCCGGCGAGATCAAGCCCTTGCGCTTGCTTTCGAGGAGGGCCGCGCGACCGACAGCGCCGCACGGCGCGCGTGAGCTCGGACGGCGACGTCGCCTGGGCGTCGCCTCGGCCGGCCGCCTCTCCCGCGCCGGTCCTTTGGGGGGCTGCCGCCGCGAGGGGGCGGTGTCGGCTCGTGGCTGACGAGCTGCTCCCTCCCCCAAGGCTGGCTGGCGAGCAGGTCCCGCGGGGCGCGAAACTCTGTGCAGTCATGCGCGCTGGGTGATGGCGCGCGACCCCGCCCTGGACGAACAATCGCACCCCCCTCGTCGCTTCCGAGCGGGAGCAGGCATGCCCTGTAGAGTGCTGTGGATTTCCCAGCGCTGTGCCCTGTCCCGGGGCACGGCGACTCGCTTTTGAGTCCAACCATCTGCGCTGCCTGCTGCCTTTCGGGGAGCCGCTCGCTTCAGCGCTTCTGCCTTCCTTGCTCTTTCCAGCACGTCTTGTCTGTTGCTCCTCCTCGCTTCCTCGACGCTGACGTTGTGCGAGGTATCAGTCCACAGGCCAGGGCATATACACACCATATGCACATATACATATACATACATATATATAGACATATATATATATATATGTCTATATAAACATATATGTGAAGACCTCTGGTCATGCTGGAGTGGCTTCCCAAATAATGCTCGCACTGTGCCACCTCGCAAGTGGCACCCCGGTGATTGCACCACACAACTTGCACTGCATAGCTCTTGCACCACACTGCGTGCATCGCACCGTGAAGATTGCACGTGGGTTCCAACACATACCTTTCTCACCACTGCGTCTGATATTGCACCGCATGCAGTGCATCAATCGCATATTCCATAGACCATGTATAATATTGCACCTAGGTTGGAACGCACATACTACACCTTACACGGACTGCACCGCAAAAATCGCACATCCAGAATGCAAGAAACCTCTTATTTAGGGTTCCTTAGGTTAACGCCCCGACTGTAGTCCGGGGACGATGTTTTAACAGATTCTGAAATATGTTTGGAAGATGTATTGAACCTATTTCGTTATTCGTCCAAGATGCGCCTGTAGGGGGACATTCAGGAGGGAAAAACACACAGACACAATTAATTGTCGATTCCCCAGAAAATATGGGAAAATATGGGGAGTGTGGGGGAAGACAAAAACCAAGAACATGTTTGGAAATATGGGGAATTCTGTTATTTGTGCGTATTTTTTGTGTTTTCCTGGACCGCCCAAACCCAGGACGCGCTCCTCAGAAAGCGTCGGCAAACCCGAGTTCTGGCTAGAGGCCTCCTTAGATGGGGTCGGAGTAGATGGGGTCGGAGGATCGTGCCGCATCGCCGATACATCGGCGATGTATCGGCGATGCGCCAGCGATGCAACCTCGACATCGGCGGTACATCGGCGACGTCGACGTGAAGCAAAATGGGCTCCACATCCAGCCGCATCGCCGATGCGGTGCCATCCTCGGACCCCATCTACTCCGACCCCATCCTGGAGGACCAGAATTCCGGCGTTCTCGATCCTCACGTTTCCCCGACCCTGGCCGGCCCAGGGAGGGGCCCGCGCTTTTCCCACGTTCTTACTTCTTCATGACGTCGACCCCCAAACCCAAAGGTCTCGACCCACTCCCCAGGACGGGTGCTTCAGCCGGAGCCGTTATTTGACGCTCCCGGGGCCCAGCGAGGGCCCCAGGAGGCCGAACACAGCGGAACAGCTCCCGCCGTGATTCTTTTTCTCGCGGCGCGAGGGGGTCCGGCCCCGGGGAGGGGCCCGCCAGGATTTCTTTCTGGATTCCCAGAACCCGATCTGCTTCAAGCGCCGTCCTACCTCCAGGAGCGAGGTGCTTCTGCTGCGTTCTGCCACTCCCTGGGCGGGCCCGAACCCACTCTGCTCTGCCCGCCCTCCTACCTCACGTTTCTGCCTACGTTAAGTCGGGCCTGTCCTACAGGGGGATTCTCGACGAACAATAAGAAATACCCAAAAAACACTGAAAAGGTCGAAAAACATGCAAAAAATAGTCCCCATATGATTTTCGGATTATTTTGTATAACTTTCGAGAATTTCCCTACCTAGGCTCTGCCTAGAGGGGTTCTTACTCTCTGAGCTTAAACGGACCGGGCAGTGGGGCTCGCCCCGGGCGGTTCCCCCAGGATCCGCCCCGCGGTTCCCCCAGTTACGTCCCCTTAGCTTCGCGTTGCTTATCTCATCTTAGCTTAGCTTTATCTTAGCTTAGCCTAGCCTAGCTTAGCTTAGCTTAGCCTAGCTTAGATTAGCTTAGCTTAGCTCAGCTTAGCGCAGCATTCGCATAACATAGCACAGCACAGCACAGCATACCATAGCGCATCATGATACCAGAGAAAAAACCCAATCATAATTTTGGGGGGGCTATGGGGCTTTATGGCTTTAGGGCTATGGGGCTATAGGGCTATAGGGCGATGTGGCCATAGGGATTTAGGGCAAGAAGCCTTTAGGGCTATGGGGCTATAGGGCTACAGGGCTGTAGGGCTGGCTACAGGGCTATATACGGCTATGGGGCGTTAGGATCATAGGGCTATAGGGCTATAGGGCTATAGGGCTATAGGGCTATAGGGCTATGGGGCTATGGGGCTATGGGACTATTGGGCTATTGGGCTATTGGGCTATAGGGCTGTACGGCTATAGGGCTATAAGATTATAGTGCTATGGAGATATAGGGCGATTGGGCTATTGGGCTATTGGGATATAGGGCTATTAGGCTAGGCACCCCCGGGCACTTCTGGGCACCCCGGGCACCCCTGGGCACCCGGGCACCCCCGGGCACCCCCGGGCACCCGGCCCCGGCCACCGAAATCGGCCACACACCTGGGCGGCCGGGCACCCCCGGGCACCCCCGGGCACCCGGGCACCCGGCCCCGGCCACCCGGGCAATCGGCGGCACAGACTACCTAACCCTTTAATCCGCTAGGACCCCCCCTATAGAGGCAAGCTCTGATTGGGGAATAACAAAGCATAGCATAGCATAGCATTGAGCAGCATAGCACAGCATAGCATAGCATAGCTTAGCATAGCACAGCGCAGCGCAGCATAGCATAGCATAGCATATCAAAAGCAAAAGCAAAGGCAAGGCAACGCAAAGCAAAAGCAAAACCAATGCGACACTGTGGATGTATATGTAGATGTAGGTGTAGATGTGGATGTAGGTGTAGATGTAGATGTAGATGTGAGTCTCGCTGTTGATGTTGATGTAACATTGATGTAGATGTAGATGCAGGTGTAGATGTTAATGTAGCTGTCGGTGTAGATGTAGATGTTGCTTTCCTAGATGCTCCAACTCCTAGGTAGGGTCGCACTGGGATAACTTTATTTTTCGTCGAAAATCCCCCTGTAGGGGGACAGGCACGACTTACAGGCAGTGGGCACTCCCCCGCCCCCTCCCCCAGAGCTCAAAGCTTCCTCGTCCACCGCGTTCGGGTGCGCGCCGGCCTCCAGAAGTCTTCGGACGCAGGCCTCTCCGGCGTCCGAGGCGGCGGCGCCGCCGCCGCCGCCGCCGCCGCCGCCGTCGTCGTCGTCGTCGTCGTCGTCGTCGTCGTTGTCGTCGTTGTCGTCGCCGTCGTCGCCGTCGTCGTCGTCGTCGTCGCCGTCGTCGTTGCCGTCGCCGTCGCCGTCGCCGCCGTCGTCGTCGTCGTCGTCGTTCTCGTCGTGGTCGTGGTCGTGGTTGTCGTCGTCGTCGTCGTCGCCCTCGTCGTGGTCCTCGTCGTCGTCGTCGTCGTCGTCGTGGTCGTCGTCGTCGACGTGGTGATTCTCCTCGTGCTGCTCCTGGCGAGACAGCCCGGGGACTTCCTCGGTGGGGGCGGGGGAGCACGGGGAGCAGAAGCAGCCCGGTGGCCCTTCGCGGCCGCCCGCCTCGGGTGCCCCACGGAGAGGGCGCGCGGGCAGCACGTCGTGCCAGCGCGGAGTGGCGCGGTGTGGGGGGATGATTGCAGGAGCAAGCATTTAACGGGCGAAGAACGGTATAAAATAAACTTTTTCGCCGTCGGGGACACCTGCCCCTGGGCGGCTGGAAAATTTACACCCTTACGGTGGCACCGTAGGGATATAAACTTTCCAGCCGCCCAGGGGCAGGTGTCCCCGACGGCGAAAAAGTTTATTTTATACCGTTCTTCGCTCGCTGAAGCATCGGGGGCGCGCAAGCATGGATTCGCGATCCCCGGATTCGGCGCGCGGTCGCCAGATCCATGATGGATCGGGGGAGGTGCCCTCCCCCAAATGCGGCCGGTGCCGCCTCGCAAGGCGGCGGAGATCCGCGGTTCCCCATGGAAACAGCCCCCTCGCTAATCCACGCCCCCGTAGTCCATCTTTGCAATCGCCTGAAAGTGTTTTTTGCCATCGCTGCAGCCTTAGCCAAGCAATCATCACACTCCTGGATGATAGCGTCTATGTCGCCACTGACCGCCTGAAAGATCTGCTCCGGGCCGTGTTCCATTTGCAATCGCCCGAAAGTAGTTGTCCTTCGAGGAAGTCTCCCCGCGTGGGTTCCACTACTCGCAAAGTGCCTACTCGTAAACGTCCGAAAAAAAACATGCCTGCTTCGATGTAATTTCTCGTAGATCCCCCGCGGGGGATCCAGGCCGTTTGCGAGTAGTTACTTTGCGAGTAGTGGAACGCGCTCGCCGCCCCCTTAATACATCTTCGCGATCGCCTGAAAGTGGCTGTTTTTCGAGGATCGACGAGCGCGCTCCACCGCTCGCAAGGCACCTCCTCGCAAGTGGCCTGGACCCTCCGCGGAGGATCCACGATACATTACACGCATGCAGACGTATGGCTTGTCGGACGTTTGCGAGTATAGGGGAACAACAAGTGGCATAAACAAACATAACAACTCGGAAGTCCGCGCGGCTTTCTCGGATCGGCGCTGGGGCCCCCCGGCGGCGCCTCCGGAGCCGCCCCTGGCAGCTCCGCGCGCCAGGGAGGGGGGGGTCCAGCGCCGATCCGAGAAGTCCGCGCGGACCTCCGAGTTTTTATGTTTATGTCAGTCTTTGTTCCCCTCAAGTACTCCAGATTTCGTAATAAAGGGAGGGGGGTCTCATTTCGGGGGGGGTCTCTTCCAGGCTATCTTGGAGGGCCTGGGGGGGTCTGGGGACGATGTTTGGGAGGGTTCTCCCACGGGGGAGGTCTGAAATGGCTCGTCTCGGAGGGTCCAGACCCCCTCCCTTTTATTACGAAATCTGGAGTAGGCACTTTGCGAGCAGTGGACCGCGCTCGGCGAGGGGAGCTCTCCGCCCTCCCCCTCGCGCTCGCGGTCGCCTGCTCTCTCCGTGCCTCGGGCCGCCGGGGGCCAGGCTCCGAGCCTGCCCGCTGCGGCGTGCGGCTGGCTGCTGCGGCCGCTCGTGGAGTGCCTGCTGCTGCTGCTGCTGCTGCTGCTGCTGCTGCTGCTGCTGCTCTGGGCTCTCCGCCTCCGCCTCCTGGTCTTGTGGGGGTCGACTCATGGAGAGGAGGCATGCTGCCACATACTTCCCAGATGTCTAAAACATGTGTCCAACATGTTCTGAACATGTAGAAGCAGGCTTGACACATGTTGAGGACATGCTTTTACACATTGTGAGCACATGTTTTGATTTAATGATCGGGTTGTTAGTTAGAGTGTCCATTGTCATGACATCCACAATCCTAGTCATTCTCCTCGTATGAGCATCGTTTCATCGACCCCCATCCTCGCCATCGCTTGGACGCCCACTCCCCGTGCACTTTTCGGTTTCGTGCGCGGGCTTCGTCGCACAGCAGTGGCCCCACATGCTCCTCGATGGCCCTTGTTGAGGCAACGAGCACACGTCCGAGCGACGCCAAGCATCTCCACTGCACTTATGTTGTTCCCATCCTACTTAAGGACCACATCCCAGAAATAATTTCGAGCACCCAGAAAAGTGCCGAAAGAGTGTCGAAATAATGTCGAAACAGTGTCTCCCAGGGCCCGGCACGTGAAAACCCTAGAGTTTTTGGGGTTCTTTTCTGGCGCTCGAAGTTCTTTCTGGTGATCAATGCTAAAGTAGGTTGGAACATCATAACACTGCACCATGGCACCTCGGCCCCACCAGCCCACAAGCGACAGCGGCAGTCGGCACTGCCCAGGGAGGACGCGCGCGGAGGCCGCAGTGCTCCCCCGAGGGCGGCGAGCCCCCCCGAACCGCCCGGGGGCACAAAGAGAGGTTCCCTCGGCCGAGGCTGGGCGACCCCGACTGGCCCCGAGGCCTCGCTGTCGGGGGTGGGGGGCGGCGCAGCGGAGAGGACGCCGTGCACTTGCGGCCTCAGGTCGGGCACGTCCCCCGTGCAGGCAGATTTTGTAAGAAAGAACTTTCAAACAAAAACGCACTTCCGAATATTCAAGAATGGGAGAACATCGGCCCCAGATTGATTTGTTTTACTACTTTTGTTTATTCCTCCTGTAGAGGGACATGCCCAACTTTTTTTTCACACGCAACACTTCTGGAGAGGAGGAGGGAGGGCAGAGGAGAGGACGCGAACCATCGATTAGCAATGCCTCACACTTCTCACACGGCACCGGCACGTCAAACGCGGGAACCTTCTATTTCAATCGACTTTTCCGCTTGTGTCACCTCGTTTCGGGCGATTTTCGCCAGAGGGACATGCCCGACTTGATCGTAGCCCGGGCCGTCGAAGGCCAGCCTGGTGATGGTGCAGGCGCCCGCGGAGGAGGCCTGCGGCGAGGCGCGGCGAGAAATTTCCGGAAGCGCTTTCGGCGCGCCCCTCGCCGGGCCTCGCTGGCGCGAGAGGCACTGGCGCGCCGAAGCTCAAGTGACCGTCGGCCCGTATCAGAAGGACGCGCGATAAGGATACATCATCATCATCATCATCGTCATCATCATCATCATCACCATCATCACCATCATCACAATCATCACCACCATCACAATCATCCTCATCCTCATCCTCATCCTCATCCTTATCCTCATATTCCTCCTCCTCCTCCTCCTCCTCATCCTCAGCATCATCGCCGTAGCATAAGGACGCGCGATACAGTCGGGGCCCGACCACAATACACCTTCCACAAGAAACCCAACCCTGAGACCCCAGGACGTCCATTGATTTTTGGTGTGGGAACGTCATGCTTTCCATCGCGAAACCATCGAAACTCAAGAAACCCAGGGCGCCCTGGAGGCAAGCAGGGTGTTTCTTGGCACGGGTCTCCACTGCAAAGATGCAAGGGCCTTGGAAGGCCATGCTGACACCCTGCGAGCGGAAAGCGGCAAAGGATGGGCCGAAGGGGCAAGGATGCAGGGGTACCCTTGGGAAGGTTGCCCCCATCCGGATTACTCGGGGGTCGACTGGAATCGCACTTGCAACAGCGCCGATGGCTCACGCGAAAGAGCAGCATAATCACCAGGGCCGCAGGGATGTGGCCACACTTCGGCTTTGCCGGGGCACGGCGACCCGGCGAGGTTGCGCGCCGCGTGGTGGTTTGAGCCACGACCTCCTCAGACGGACGGAGCGACCTTCGGTGCCCAACTCAGCCCAAGCACTTTTTGCCACCACCTTCCTCTCCCCGTCGCTCGGACGTCCATTCCCTATGTTTTTGTTCGGTTTCGTGCGTGGCTTTTTCGCCAAATGATCAAAGATGCTCCTCGATGGTCCTCGCCGAAGGAAAAATGCACAAATCTGAGCGATGGACATTGCCACTAAAAAGCGGTTAGATTCTGGACGGGAGCTCTGAGAGCCAGCGATTTTCTGTGAGGCGTGCGGGGAGCAACGGCCATTCCAAGATGCCCCCGATCGCTCTGAGGATCTCTGGAGTTGTTTTACCCGCATCCTCAGGCTGCCAGGTCTTGAGCTGGCACCTCCCTGCCATCAGCCGAAAAGGTCCTGAAGGAACCACATCGTGGACCCCCGGGCTTCCCGCGAGGCTGGTTCGTCGTTGGCAAGACATTCTCTGGACTCGTCGTGCTCAAGACCCATTGTCGCCGCCCTCCGACCTCAAAATCGTCCCGAAACGTGCCTCCTTGGGAGGCAGATTCAGGGCAGGTTGCATCCTCGTCGCCATGGCTGGATTCGGGAATGCGTCGCTGCTGGCCTTTGCCTTCCGCCCGAATCCGAGGCGGGATATCAAGCGTCGGCTTTCGCTCCCGAGAGGGTAGATTTAGGTCGGGCCTGTCCTCTTATAGGTGGAACTAGTAAGACAATGCCCAACAAATAGTCAAACACGAGTCGAAAACTCGTCACCAGACTACTTTCGACTATTTCTGAATATTCCTCCTGTAGAGGGGCATGCCCGACTTCAGGGTAGATGCGCTTTCCCTGGTGGCTCGAGAGCCTGGCAAAAAAAGAGCGCAGGGGTCCCCACAGGGCCCGGGCTGCCCCCATGGGGCTGGGTTGGGTTGCGTGCCTCTGCGCCAGGAAAAGATATGCACAGACACCCTCCGACGAATTCGTCATGCACCTCCACGTGTATAAAATCGCTGGCTCTGCGTGGTGATTCATGCACCGCCACCCTCCTC